CTTTCTGTCTTCCTGTCCTCCCCTCTCCTGCTTTCTCCCTCCCTCCCTATCAGTCTCTTTCTATGTCTCTGTCTCCCTTTCACACCAATACACACAAGTGCACATTTGTCAGATGTTAGGATATGGAAAGGATTGTGACAACTCTCTCTCTCTCTCTCTCTCTCTCTCTCTCTCTCTCTCTCTCTCTCTCTCTCTCTCTCTCTCTCTCTCTCTTTCTCTCTCTCTCTCTTGCTCTGTGTGTGTGTATATATGTGTGCGTTGTCTCTTGCTCTCTCACTCTCTCTTGCTGTGTGTGTGTGTGTGTGTGTGTGTGTGTGTGTGTGTGTGTGTGTGTGTGTGTGTGTGTGCGCGTTGTCATGTTCACTATCCAGAACTACAAAAAAGAAAACACGACTGTGCCAGACTGTTTTGTCGGACTTTCACCGACTCATCAGGAGGTCGAACCCCGATAGTCGGCCAAGGGTGCATTTGGCTGACGGATAACGACTCATCACATCGCCCAGAGTGTGTGTGTGTGTGTGTGTGCGCGCGTTGGGCGTTGTGGACTGGTTCTCTCTCATTGAACTCAGCGCATAGGTGTAGCAATACATTTGTGGATGACTTGTAGGATATGGCCACGGAGGTCGTGGAGCAGCATATCTGAAGATAGCATGTGGGGGGGTATGAGTATCTCGTGCATTGAAGTCGAACGGCCTCACAAAGCATGAATATATCATCCATGTGCTGGTGAAATTGGGTGTTTTCTTCCCATATCTCCCAGAACCAGTACTGATGTACGAATGAACGATGGCATCATGACAGGATGTGTTATTGCAGTCCCTTCTTGTTGTCTTTGGTGGTGTTTCACAATGAAGATAAGGTCTTCGGTGGTGTGGTGGTGTTTTTTTTTTCTTCCCATAGCTCGTCGAGCTGGTGTTCGATCCGTTAACGGTCAGGTAATTCACAAGAAGCCTGAAGAAGGTGAAATAAATAACTCGTCAAGATAACAGAGGTAAGTAACATGAAGGTAACTTAAAGGTAACTCACAAGAATCACAAGAAGGTTAAGGAAATACTCGTCAAGATAACAGAGGTAAGTGACATGAAGGTAAGGTAATTCACAAAGAGGTGAAAGTAATAGTTGTCAGGATAGAAGTAAGGTAATTCACAAGAAGGTTAAAGAAATACCTTGTCAGAACAGAGGTCTGTGACACAAGGTTAAAGAAGGTAAGGTAATTCACAAGAAGGTTAAAGAAGGTTAAGGTAATTCACAAGAAGGTTAAAGAAAGTAAGGTAATTCACAAGAAGGTTAAAGAAATACTCGTCAGAACAGGGGTAAGTGACCTTTAGGTAAATGCACACACACACACACACACACACACACACACACACACACACACACACACACACACACACACGCACACATTGTAGAATTTGTTTATTATACACGGCCTAATTCTTTGCGCTGCTTTAGAGCATGGGCTGTTTGGATGTGTATGGATGATGTTTATGGGTGGCCATGTAATTTCTGGGGGTGGGAATGTATGTTGTGTGGGCCGGTGCGGGAGTCTCTCTCAAGTTTTCTCGGACTTTTGGTTGGACGGGTTGGTGCTTTCTTGCCGGAGGACCTCCCACCCTGTTGGTAGTGACGTGAGTGCGTTGTTTGGGACGAATAAGGAATGCCAATGCTGCTGTATTTGTGTTGTGTTTGTGTTTGTGTAATTGAGTTTGGGGTTTTGTGGGCCGATGCGGAAGGCTCTCCAAGTTCTTTTTGGGCCTTTGGGTGGCTGGGTCGGTGTTTTCTTGCTGGATGAGTCTTCTGCTTTAGGTAAGTTGCCTTTTGCCCTTCACCCCTTCACGAATTATGAAATATACATGTTATATATATCGTATATATGTGCAAGTGTGCCGCTTCGGCGGTAGACGGGTGGGTGTGTGGGCACTTGGCGCTGAACCACACAAACGTGGCCAACCTTGCAAATTTACTATCTAGTATTTTGTTTGTCTATCTTTATTCTTTCGCTGAATAGGTGATTTGTGGAGGGAATAAGAGAGAGAATTTGGGTTTTTAAACACACACACACACACACACACACACACACACACACACACACACACACACACACACACACACACACACACACACACACACACACACACACACAGAGTGACATGAGGGTAAATGCACACACGTACACAGTGGGTCAGTGACATGGAGGTAAATGCACTCTGTAATAGGACAAAAAAAAGCTGCTTCGATTCTGAATCTACTCATCTGGGAGGAATTGGGGCTGTTGTGGGGGAAATTTACAACGCACATTAAGAGGCACAGCAGTAAAAGGGTACCCCTGCAAGAAAACAAATGAAAGGGGTACCCCAAAGAAAGCCAAAGTGAACGTAGTCAACAAAGGGATATAAATGGATCTATTGTGCTCCATGTTGCTTGTTAAACAGCGATTTTGTCAAAGCCGACATATTTTATTTTTTTAACGAAATTGAAAATCCAAACTGTGGCCAATTTTTTTTTCGATGAAATTTTGGGTACAGCCTTCTGAAAACGCCCTACCCCCTCGATGTATCTGGTTTCTATCGGTTTAATTCTCCTCTCCTTAAACTCAACTCGCTCAGAAACCAGGTAAGGGGAGTTCTGGGCCTACTTATGACGGTCCCACTGGATCACTCAAAGATCAGTACCCCTCGGTAGTCGACTGGCTCAATGAGGGTGTGGCCACGCTCAGGAAAAGAAGAAAACAATTTTATTACTATTATTATTATTATTATTATCAATTTACTATTATAATAGACTATTAATAGTATTATTATTATTTTATTATTATTTAATTATATTTTATTTATTTATTTTTTCCAAAGCCCATGGTGTTGTAGAGGCCACCAAGGACTAGACCCACGGTGTTAGCTGGCAGCTGTAGAAAATAATTTTCAAGTAAACACACAAGAGAAAAGAGTGCCATCTTGGAGAGACTGGGGCACTCCCTTAGCGCAGAACAATGGGGGACAGCGAACTGAACAACCACCCTGTAGACACAGAAACATACAATCAAGGCTTTGTTCCAGCAAGCCTGTGATCATCTTCAAGCCTACCTAGACCACGGAGGTGAGGGCTGGAGAATACAGGCAAGAATCTGTAAACGCACAGAGGGGACAATGTCCAAGGCTTTCTTCCAGAAAGCAACATGCAGAGCCGGACATACCATAAAACATACCATAAAAGCACCCCTGTAAGCGCCATCAGCCATGCCCAACCAGTGCTGACAAGGTGGTAGATTATGCCACCCAGTGTTATCAAGAGCTCTTCACGTCGCACACCACGCAGTGGGGGGAGGAGGCGATGATCGCAAGCCTCTAGGTAGAACCTCCTCCAAAAGACAACCTGCTGCGTCTGCAGAGGGCCCTACGAAGCTTCCTCACAAAAGGGACAAAACCCAGTATGCACTGCTCGGCATGAAACCACCTGCTGCATCTGCGGACGGCCCTATTGTCTTCCCCCCAGCTTAAGGTACCCTGATTCTGAATGTATACACACCATCTTTCTGGTCTGATGTACTCATAATGAGGGTGCGTTGT